GTAAGTTTTTATAAAGTCTGAAATGTACAGGGTGTTCATGAAGTCCAGTGTTAAATTACGCGAAAGAAATTTGACGTGCCTCGTGCACTAATAGTTGGCAAATAAAGGTGTATTAAATGAAGTAGCCTAAATAAAAAACACTGATAGGAATATAATCTGGCCAAGTTATACCGTAAACTGACTATACAACAAATTTGAACATGGTAACAGAACTTTATGAACACCACATGTAGGCTACATTGTTTACAATATTATCGAAGAAATATAGCATATTCAGAAATCGGATATTTCTTACATCAAATGGTTTGTGATCTAGATTTTAACAAGCGCCGGCAGCAAAATTCATTTAAAAAAAAGCACAAACATTAAAAAAATGTCCGGAAAAGAATATATATATTGCCATTACGAAGTCAAATAAGGAATTATCAGTTTTATTGCAAGTATTTTTTCGTTGGTGATTACCTAACCATCCTTTGTCACACAAATTGCTTACTTGTAGGCCTATACTGAACACGTTTTGTGAATTTCAAAAAATAAAATAAAACTCATGAGATCTGAAATTACTCCATTGTAGTTGATTTCAAGCTGTTCCGCCACTGGGAGGGAAAAAAGAAAAAATTCCACAAGAGAAATAGAAAAGCCAGATATTATTAAAAATAATTTTTATTTCATTTATTCCACTGGAAGAAAAGCAGCCAAGGCGGTCCAATCACACGGCGGTCGGTTATGGGGTGGAACAGTTTTATTCATGCTAATGAATGTATCGTGTGCCTCTTCCAAGCCACGCTGTTATCCCATCAAATTATGTACGACTTGGCCGAACTATCCATGTGAACTATGCATTCAGGAGACAAGAGCGCGGCGCTAACGAAAAATATTCAATCCATGGTATATACTTGTACATAATTCGAAACCAAAGAAATTGTTTATTGCGAATTTTCAACTGTGACCAAAGCATCAATTTTAACTGCTCAGTCAACAAGAAAATCACTTCGTTTGCTGCGTTCAAAAAGATAACCCTCCGATTATTAAGGTTATGGATCCAAGACGAAACGGTCCCGAAAATTTTAGCATCGCCCAACGTTGCTGCTTTTTCAGTTTTACCTATAACAATGCATAAACATGAGTAGTGCCACCAGCGTGAATGATTTAAATGCAATTCAAAATTATGGAGAGAGTTCGTCCCTCGAGAACAATAAATAATTTGTGAATTAAAAGATTATATTATTGTTTGCAATAATGGGATTTGTTTTTTTGAAATTTTACCAAAACGCTCTCTTTTCTCAAGTTATCATTCATGCATCGCAGGAGTTCACACTTAAATAATATTTCCATGCTGACAGGCTTTTCCGAGAACCTTATCTTTTGTTGAAATCTCCAGGCTGCCTTGAACTGTTCTTATAGTGTTCTCTATGTGATTTTGATGTAGGCAATAAAGCTTACCTGATCCATACATTGATCGCACGCTAGATTTTGAAGAAAAACAAGTATTTAAGCGCGCCACATGGCAGGGCTACTAAACCGGCGGACCGCGGTCCGAATGCGGGCTTTTCGACCATTTAATTTGGACCGCGTCTGCTTGTTTATTTTGGCAGCATAAGCATCGTTTTATAGTTTTAGATGATTTTGATACAATTTGAATACAGTTATACAGTTTGTCTTACTGGTGCCGATGTGCGACATTTGTGTCCATATTTGCGAGCTATTCATTGCTCTTGTATTTAACTTAATATTGCATTTGAAGTTTCATTTATTTAATGAAATAAATTCCCTGTAAAGTCCGGACCCCAGTAATTTTGAAGTTTTGTAAACGGACCGTTGGTGAAAATAGTTGAGTAGCCCCGCCATATGGTATCAGGTCCGCCAGTAATCTTCTATCAGCACCATTTCCACATAAAGTGAAGTGTGAGACCCTGCTTTGAGCAAACTGATTTACATAGCGCACACATGTTTTTATATTTCACCGATAACTGTTCCGCTGAATTCCAATATACATAATTGATTCGCTGACAGTCTTGAATTGTCTCAAGTCAATATAAATAGCTTGTCAAGGCTCGAGACCTTGCTTTGAGCAGACTTATACACAATGCACACACATTTTCTCGTATTTTACCATTTATATTTCTTTAAATCTACCTTTAGATTAGAAGCAGGAAAAATCAGAATATAAACAAGACTGGAACATTTTCATTAAGGCACTTTTACTGACACAATCCTAAGCTTTAAAAACCATTAAATTACAGTTTGCAACGCTCCAAAATCAACTTCATGTCCAGGAAAATCAAATAATTTAAATGGGGAAAATGGAATAATGTATAAACTTCTGAGTTGCAGATACAAAGAAAAATAGACCAACTCAATTCTAAATTCAAAGTTTGTTCCGCTTGCTGTCAAATCATTTTTAAAGGAAATTGAAAATTAAACACTTATAAGCTGCGATGGGATTCAAGAGAGTTTCGCATGGGTTGGCTTGAATCGGTTCTGGGAATATCCTGACAATCAGAGAACACGTCTTCTACGAGAACCAGTTCTTGAAATCAGGAATCGTATCACTGATTATATGGTTTGTTTTTCAATAATTTTGCAGTCGAGATATACTATATTGGCCTGTGATGTTAAAAATTTGAGGATTACCGTATATACTCGCAGATAGGTCACAATTTTTCCCTTATATTTATATAGGCGCGACCAATCCGCACGACATAAGTGCAAATCGTCACCAAGTCGGAACAGCGAGTTGGTTATTCATGAAAATTGTATGTTCTGCGCTTGCGTACATGCACTTACTAATGTTACTATCGCTCGCAGGTGTTGATTAAATGCAATACAAAAAAAAATAGCAAGTTATCTATGCAAAAAGCTAGGGAAAGGGCCTTTTAAATCCCTAGACTTTCAGAGCGACTTATGTGCGAGTCAACTCTAAATTACACTTTTTTAACACAAAACTGATAGTGCGACCTATACGGTGGCACGACCTATCGGCGAGTATACACTGGTCTATAGATATAGAAACCAATCAGAACCAGAACTAAAAACACTTTTAAAATTCAAATCGTATGTACTGGTCTTTGGGCATGGTGCATTTGTTACCATCATAGAGGTCAATCAGAACCATAACCGCTGTGAAAAACACTTTTGAATATTCAAACTGGAAATACTGGTCCATGGTTACGATGCAGTACCTATCGTTTGACCAATCTGACCAGAAGATCTGTAATGATATGGTTTTAAACAAACCAAATAAAACCAGCATGAATCGCGGTTTATAAATATGGTACCAATTTAGACCATTCTAATATATACCTCTGGATGGTGCATGTCATTTTGAATACCTTAAACCAAATATCATAAATATAGTACATCAAAATATCAATATGTTATGGCCATCATTTAAAATGCAATTATAAATTTGAAAGATTTGTGGAAGGAAAAATTTTCAACACGCCAAATGTTTTGTTGACAGCTGGGAGAAATGGTATTTAAACAAAAATATCAAGAATGTGAAAAATTACCAAACTGGGCAATGAATTAATATTTGAGTATTGAGATGTAATTTTTTGATACTTAAAGCAATCCTGGCTGAACATTGTTCACACAGTTTGTGCAGAAAGGCCAAGTCACAATAAGTAACCCTTGATGAATCAGTATAGGGTTCTAATAACGGCAACGCAAGGCAATAAATAAGATCAAGTAAAATTGTTTCTGAAACATAATTTAAATGTAAACAATGTAGCCCTGATCACACTCCATTGCAGGTAACCCAAAAGATAAAGAGAGGGGGGGGGGGGCGTGGCGGAGACTTATGCCACCGCTCTATTTCAATAGGGCTATAGAGAGAATAAAAAACATGTATTTATGAAATTTCAAACAATAACTCGGTCAGAATTATTGGGTCCACTTATAATTTCAATTTTGTTATGAGGTCGATTTTCAATACAGAATGATCCAAAAATAAAAAGTCATAAATTTCCTAGTTACTTTTACAAAAAATGAAAAAAATTTATTTAATACTTGAACTTCTGTTTGTGTTCGATTATATCCGAAAGTTACAGTAATCTAGCATGCTTTGCACAAACGTCTTATGGCTCAACAAACTACATTTGACATAGATAAATATTCCTTTTCTGAAAATGTTTAAGACTTTAGGAACACCCTGTATAATTAAAATATTCAGTTGTGATTGTGTCATGTGCCATCCTTAATAAAACTCAAATTCTGACAGGGACAATATTCAAATGATTAGATAGAATCTTTATAGCTATTAATATAAACAAATTAATAGAAATTGTTGACAAAAAAATACAGCATTTATTATTCATTGAAGATATTTGGTTGAGAGTTTCAGAGTTTGAATTAAACAAGTCTTTGAGCAGATCTTTCATATCAAACTTGCAAAAGCACTTTGAAAGCAAAAGCATCTTTCCACAGAAAATCTTTTGCTTTTTGACAAAAAGCTTAGCATTACGAAAGGGCTCAATGTGGGCACGGTATGTTTCAAGCTAAGCCACTCCTCTGGTTTGGTCCATGGGGAAATATAAATCTGGCTATTTGTTTTAAATGCATTGAATGAATTCTGTTTCAAAACTTGTTTAATTCAAACTCTGATTTTAAAAAGAAGAAAAATTACGGCCACAAAGTAGGCACAATGGATTAGTTAAAATAGTATAGAGTGAACATTCAACAATGTTCATAATATTAAAGAAAGTAATATTTTATAATTTTCACAATCCATTTTAAATTTAGCGGTCCAGGGATGCCCAAAATGAATCAAATATTCATACTTATTCAAAATTAAATATATTCGATTAATTTTAAATTCCTTAATTTAGGAGTTGGTTCCAAATGGTTCAAATTGGTAGTTCGAAAATGTAATTAAAAATGTGTTCATTTAGTGCTTATCTCAACTTCTTTGCAACTCCAAATCGATAAATATACATCGACAACCTTGAGTTCTTTGTTAATTTTGACCTGATTTCAATTATAGTGGGTATATCATTTTCAAATAGGAATAGTTGATTCATGTATTTTAGCCATCCCTGGTTAGTGCCTTCAGTTAGAGCTCACAAGTTAATCATAAATTTATTATAAGTAATTTATTTAACACTACAAGTAATAAAAGAAAATTTTCAATTGTGCAAAAAGGTGGTGATATATGATGAGTACCGTCACGTGATGGTGGTGGCAGATATACTTCATTGTATGTGAGTCGGGCACATACTTTTCGTTTGTTTTTAACTTTATTACAAGTTAAGTCGCCTTCAATGTAACTCTGTATTTTGTTTGTCTGTTTGTTATTGTTATGTTGTTTTGTTTTATGCCATGAGCGACCCCAAAATAAAATTGATGAATTGAAATTCAGATTATTGATTTGACACTAGAGTGTGCTAGAGAACAGCAAAACTAATGTAGGTAAAACTACAATTTAGGTAGGGTTGTATTGGAGTTGGGATTGAATTCTCATATATTTTATTTTGTGGGCGGGGGAAGAGAAAAGCTTATGAGGCAGCTTACTCATATAGCAAAGGACTGCCTCATAGAGACATGCGATCAACCATTATATGTCAGTAGGGTCCCAGTGATGTAGTTTATGCCCACTATGTCGACCATGGTGTATAATTGAAAGGCCTAAAGCATAACAAAAAAAGTATGTAAGATATTATCTGGAAAAGTCGAAATTTGCTTTCAAATATTGTTTAGAATTTGTTGTGTTCTTTAAAGAGACAAGTTTCTGAGTTATCTAACCAATCAATTGGACATTATGAAATTTCTTGATGAATTTATGGAACATGAAAAAGATGAATCGAATGACCTTCAAAATGAGATAACGACCTTCACACAGGTTAAAGGTCGTTTCAAGATCAAACCCTGAGTGTTAGTAATGGAACACAATGCCGCTCTCGCTTACAATCTCGGAGAGCACTATCATCCTTGCATTGTTGAAAAATAATGAAGTAGAAAAAATAAGGCTATGAATGTAGCCGTTTCAGTGGGTTACGAGTAAAGGTATGAGATTTGGAAGAAGTCTGTAGCGAGGCCACTAAACTTGAGTACAAATCACACAAAATGTGCGGTAGGTAGGCTTTCCTGCTCTTGTGTAGTCTATGGCGATTGTGGCCCACTCTTTTGATATTGTCCTGCGTGCCACCGCCGGATTGTCAAACATCTGCGACTTCTTCAGCACGACCACCGCACCTTACACGATACCGACCATTTTGCCATGTTATCGTTGGGTCCCAGATCGCGGTGAGAATAACATAAGGTGTCAATGTCTCTCGTATAAACCAAGCCACAAGAAAATCCCTTTTACTGATTTGAAGATGCCCATTCTAAGATAAAAAAATATGCAGTTTAGATCAGTGTTTCATCAGTGAGGGAGTTGCAGAGCACTTTTCTGGAGGACATGAGCAAAGGTTTTCAATAGAGCTACCATTTGAGCTAACAACATTTATTTGAAGTTAACTGATTTTTCAATTCCATGACCATAATACATTCGTTTGTCAGCCAAATTACTCAATCAACGTACTAATTAAAGCGTCTTAAAACGTTAGACCTGTGGTTCTCAAACGGTGGGGCGCAGACAATTTTTTAGGGAGCATGAAGCTAATTAAAACTAAAAATATCTGTTCGATTTGATCATGCTCGCCCAATTTGTTTTTGAAACTTCTCATTTATACCATAAATTACTTCCATCCACGTAATTTCAAAGTGTATTTTGAATATAACATACTTTCAATTCACTATCTGTTATTTGTAGCTTATTGTTAAATAGTTATCGTGGTGGGGCGCAAATCAAATTCTAAAAATGGGACGCAGATTAAAAAGTTTGAGAACAGAACTGTGTTGGCATCGCTGGTTACACATTTCAGATTTAAATTCCACCACTTTACACAGGATAGGCATAATGAATCGGATAGGCAATGTCGAACTGTTCAGTTCTTCTGTAGTATGTGTACCAGGTCAGGGTTAGGCCACAATTTTATTCTTATTTTAGTTCTATTGCAAGTTCGGGGACTGTCTGTGTTAGGCAAGTGAATATACCCCCTGCCTATATGTTCCAGTCCCTTTACACAACTTTATGTGAATTAGGTGAACAAAATTAGTTACCTTCTTATTGGTAACCTTCTTATTGGTACACATACTACTGAGCGCCAAAGATTCTACCCTCTCCAAAAATAGTATCTTTTTACATATTGTCAGATATCAGTGACTGCTTTTGCAGGGTCTTGTTCAGAGCAAGAGGCATGAATAAGCATTGTATAAGAAAGGTAGACAAACAAACCTCCAGCGTCCTGAAGAACATATAATCTGCAATAAACCATCCCAAGACATGGTAAAGAAACACGACCATCATGTTCCAACCAAGAAAATGATGACACGATAACGCCAGCAGAAGACCAGCAAGGAAGCATTCTGAAAACGGCTCCAAAATAACAGCGAAAGGAACCATTGCTATCCGAAGCTTTGTCCACCTGTAACATAAGAAATAAATAGTAATATGACTTAGCCGTTCAATTTATGATCATCAATGTACTTTCATGCAAATGCCTTTTGGCTCACATGTAAAACGAAGCAGATTGCTTGTGGGTAAATGGGATTCGATGACCAGTTATAGGTTGGAGTGGGTTTAAAATATTGGGCAAATGACTAGTGTGAGCAAAAAAAAATTTGATGAAATAAAATCAATTGTTCATGTATATATAAAGTAGGTGCTTTTAAAACAGACCTCCCGAACATTTTGTCATTCAGAGGAATCTGTGAATACCTACAAGAATGAATTTATCAAACGATATGTGATATACAGTCATAAATATATTATTTGCTGCCAAGGTAAATACACTTGCAGTCTTAATAACTTAACAATCGGCCATTTTTATATTTCTTTATTGTTTCAGTAGCTGTTGGCTATTAGTGGTCGCATTCAACTTCGCTAAGAGATGAGATTACTTCTCAGTGAGTGCATTTGGTCAGAGCAAAATTTGTTAATAATATATCAATTATAATGGATAACACCTTATGCCAATGCACAAATTAAAAAGAACAATCGCAGTATTCAAATTAGACAGGTATAAATCTAAGTGTTGCATGCTAGCTAATGTTCAAAAAGTATAAAACAATTCATTAAATTATAAATCTGCTGTCAGTAATTAATCAATAAGATAGAAATACATAAACGTGGCAAATCTTTCTTGACAATAATAATATGTCACATGTTGACAAGAGACAGCTAAACAACACGATAACTGTTTAAAATTAGCCATTGAGGTTTCCAAATGAAATTGCGCCAATATCATGACACGCAGGTCGAAAAGTTTGAACCAAAATAGTGCAATTAATCTATATTATCAATAGGCTATATAAATGTCAGAATTCAGACAGCTGGACATAGTGTTCCAGTTTCTAATCTAAAAAAGAAACCGAAAATAGGGAATAAGTTTACATGAAATTTGATCTATTTGTAGAATTTGAATAATATAAATCTTGGATAAGATCTGTTTTACAGAGTCAAATTTATAAAGTATGTTTTGGCACATAAACTATTGTTTTGTTGGAAAACAGTTATTATTAATCAACTATTTTTAACAACCCTATACTTTTGTTCCAGTATTAATCAAAACTAAAAACAATTTCAACACAGAATTTCAGATTTCTCAAATATGTATGGCCATCGCTTATTATGTTACTTTAGGGACAGAGTTGATACAAAATGACATTTTAGTGTCCAGTATGTCAACATAATAACAAATCTTCGTGATATATTTCTGTAAGTGCGAACGTGACAAAAACCGCGTGCACACTGTTAGCACCCTAGGCAATAATTCTTAATTTTAAAAAGGTAAATAAATTGATATAGTAACAACATAATAAATGGTCGCATATTTTTGAATGCCGTACTTTTTTCAACAATATTTCACTTAATAAACACTCAAAAAAGAGTTCTTTAAATTGAAAATAAAAGAACCGAATTTGGGGCAAAATATCGGTCTATGTAAACCTTGGAAAAGTTTTAAAAAAGTAAAACTTTTAGTAAAGAAAATAGGTGCCTAAATTTTTAGATGTTTAAATTTATCGCATTTAGCAACATGTTATTAATAAAATTGCCTCTGGAAAAATTCCATGGTTGGTACTTGGTAGTAACCTCACAAATTCCAACCACTATGTGGGCTTTACCAGATCAAATGACAAAACACGACATAATCACGGTTTTTCCCATCCATGCAGACATGATCGGATTAATTTTTGCCTTAAGGGAATACTCTTCGATAACATTGCAACATTGCAGAGCAATGCCGGTAAATCTAAACCAATGCTGAGTCATAGTAAGAAAAGCTAAAAATAGAATGTAGCATTCTTATGTATATATATATAAATATGTTTGAAAAATTTTAAATCGGAAAAATATTTGAAATGAACAACAGTATAAAATTGTATTATTTTCATTAAAAAATCAGATATTCAAAACCACAATTTTATCTGCAAAGAAATTTTGCCCACCTCGACTAGCAGGCCATATAAGTTACATTTTATGAACAGAATTCAATTTACAGTGTTACAAAAGCAAAAGTGGAAAAATGAGTTTTGCGCCAAAACTAAATTTAATCGCAATCTCAACAAATTCCTTGCGCTATATTTTAGCTGAAACATCAAAATTTGGTTTATAGTTTGATTGTGGCAGCATCAGTTGGGTCAGATTGGATAATCCAATGGGCTGGATTTGGCCCGCGGGCCATGGTTTGCCCATGTCAGATAAAGACAGTCACATTCCTTCTTCATACAACCTATTTTCAGGCGTAGCATTACACAATGCTCGTGCTACCGACATTTGGCACAACAACAAAAGAAGGAATCCCAACTGATTACGATGGCTTCATTATAATTGAGTTACCGGCAGCTAAATATGTCTCAATTATTCCATAGGGATTTGAGCCATTTTTCAAACGCAGAGAAGCCTTTATTAATAAGCATTTCCAAGCTGTAAGGAGGCGAATATAGCTCATAAATGCTTATTAATAATATGAAATGATACAAAATTGGTAAGAGTGTTAACCAACATGGTTTCAACTAAGAGCAATTTCAAGAACACCAGGCATAATTACCTAATATTCAATGTGTTAAGACTTGACTATATCGCCATAGAAATCTGAGTTGTGAAACCCATTACCTCCACCCACCCCAGGCTGTAATAAACTAGGTAGACAATGCAAAACAGGAAAGATTCGTCCTCAAATACAGTAGCTCATTACCGAGAAGTGGCTACTTTTTCATGTTCAAGATATAATAAAAACTATGTATCCTGTGAAAAAGCATTGCAAGCAAGAAATCGAGACGCAATACTGACTGATTGGAGGCTACCAATGATTTTAAAATCATGTCAGCCATGGTTACTTTTAATTCGCTATATAATGAACAAATTCAAGTCTTATTTAAAGTAAAATTCAATACCAGATGCGGTTTATGAGGGCCAATTTGCAATGCATACCTAAAGCATGATGAGATACTCTCTGATTTACCATAAGTCTGTGAGCATTTTAATATTACATGAATATATCGGTAAATACAATATGAAATACATTATATTCAAGTTTTAATTGAATGTTTGATGATACATTCAATAATTTACTATCGAGTATTGAATTTTCATAGACAAAAAGCACAACAAAACAGATAATTATTGAAGGATAGTCATTACTAGACTCGCTAACTAGCCACAAATAGCAAGTAGTAAGGCGAAAGTATGTTTTATTCTAAAAATACAATAAAATATGCGGATAGAACGTAAACAGTGAAATAAATGAAAAGTTTTGAAATGTAAATAATGAAAATCCAAAATAAGGCGAGCAAGATCAAGGGTAAAAATGGTCGATCTAACAAATATTTTTAGGTGCTCCCGAAATATGCGAACCAAGATGGCGGACATTGGAACGTAACATGGGTAACAGGTTAGGGTTAGGCGATAATTTTTTCCCAATTTTCCTTATTTTAGTCCTATTATCAGTTCGAAGACTAGCCAAGAGCCTCCCGTAGTATTCATACCTAAAATTATGGCCTAACCCTAACCTAGTACACATGTTACATTCCGATGTCTGCCATCTTGGTTCGCATACTTCGGAAGCCCCTATTTTTATTTTCAATTAGCTGCGCGCGCCCCCCCAAAATTGTCTACGGCCCCCTTGTGGAATGCGCCCCCCATTTGAAAACCACTGCTATGAAAGATATTTTCAAAACGACACGAGTTTTGCTATATTTGGGTCACCCTGTATCACATGTTGATAACGACATTTTGTCCTTATGGGGTGTAATAGAACATAAAATAAATACACTAAGGGAAAAAAACAATTAGTTACTCTTTATCATTAACAAAGCTCTCATGTAAACCAAAGATACACAAGGGTACATAATACAAACAATGGCCGGAAATTAGCTGTAGATAAACTTGATTGACTATGCTTGAATTAAATATGTAATTTCAGTGGGATGGTAGTACTAGTGACAAGGGGTTGTAAAACAATAGTACGGTAAATCATTCACTAACACTAAACAATTTTTAGTTTGACAGTATTGAAACCATCCTACCTTGTTAATAAGGGAACAATGCTTTTAATAAATTTGCCTTCACATTATGCTTGGGTGGCCACTTTAAAATGAGCTTATGATAAGTCTAATCAATTGCAATTGGCTTTGCCTGTATGAAATAAATTACTGTGAAATCACTATTTAGAGTGAAGCATACTCCCGGGGGTACATTTAGACTTTTCAAGCTTTAGATTATTAGGTATTGGGATGTATTTTCCATAACTCCTGATATGCCTTAAAATATTTTGTTATCACCTGATATTAATAAATTGAAGACGTGAGCTCAGGAAGTCACATTGTCATTAAATTAGAAGCTGTAACTACAACTACAGTAACAAACAAGTTGCAATCACAGCACGCAATACAATTTGGGAAGTACACAAGCGAATCTTCCATTTCAAGAGGGTACCGTTAAACGGGAAGTTTGGAAAACCCTGATTTAGGACATCAAATTCATTCAAGTGATAATTTTCGCAAACTAGAAAGGAAGTGCCCCATATTTCTAAGGAAATACACACAAAATACCAACATCCCAGTTCCTGTGGCTAACATTCAAGGCGTGAACATATTTCTCCTTAATAAAATATATAGCCTAATGAATTTGTATCTTGTATTTATCTTATAATATCTATTGAATAGGCCCTAGTTTATTACTCTTAGGAATATGTAGTAGTCAAAAAAAATTTCAAAAGAATATTTATTACCAAATCCGTATAATTGAAATACTTTTATGTGGTGCAAGCATGATTTTTAACAAATTTAGACTAACATAAAATTTTGTGTTCTAAAACTTTGAAGAATTGGAATATCAGTTTGAAATATTCAAAGTATACCCTAAGGCAGCATTTCCAATCAGGAAACTCCCTAGATAGGACGGAATTTTGTTGATTTGGGAGAGAAGAACAAAAGTGTTACCTAGTTTATATTTGGAGTAGTTTTGATAAAATTCTTTACTTATATAGTATTAGTGCAATAACATATTCATATAAGCAGACACAAAACCTTCCTACACAAAACCCAAAATAGTATTGACACAATAGGGATCATTTAAAAAAGTTCATTTCTGAGGATATTTCTCCATAGAGTACCACTTGAAATATTGCCAAGATGTTTGGAAAGGGCCTGGTTATTCTCATAATAAATAACTATTTACACAAATGGAACTGGCACGCCCTGTCTGTGTATAGAACCTAAATAAACGGTTGAGTAACCAAGTAATTCCTAACCTCAATATAACAGCAAATGGAAAATTACAGACCTAAGATGAATTAGAGCAAGTAACGCTCTACTTAACATCTAAAATGAAAAGCCTTTCGATGAATTCATTGGTATTACCAGTAGAGAAGAACATTTTATGTAATTTATACTAACCAAATTTAGACATGAATTAAAATATATTAAAAACATGGATTGGATGATTTTATAATGTGGAATAATATAATTAAACCAGATCAACATAACATAAATAACAAACGGTTTCAAAAAATATTAATGAATTGAGACCAAATCAGATAGCCCTACCCAATGACCTTGACTGCATGTTAAAATGAGTGTTTATTAAAATGTGAATACCGGCTTACTAAGCGTGATAATGAGAATTACAAAAAAAAAGATTTTATTTTTAATTTTCTGGGCAGAATAACATGTTGTGAAATCAATTTTTTTCTTAGGTAAACACAAGTTTTTTTTACCCTTTCCTCTCTAAGCAAGTCTCTGTGCAAGCATCCATGGTTATGTAAAAGGCTGATATATTTTGAATAGACCAGAAATTGTAGAAAAAAATGGATAGCAGTCTAGGCTGGGCATGGTGATGTTTCAACAAAAGTAGATCGAAAGTTTTTATTTCATTATAGTAAATATTTCAATAAGTGTGATTCAAGTGTTTCCCCAATGACACTCTGGTCATCAAGGGCATTATGATATCATCATGTGACATTTATGTCAAAATTGAATAAAAACAATTTTGAACATTCAAAAAAGTAGGAAAATTAGGTTATTATTTTGCCTTCATTTTATTATTTTGAACATTAAATTATCATCATATTATGTAGTAAGAAAATAGGGTCATGCCCCAATAATTGTTCTTTATTAATTGTATCAAGCATAGTGTTTACAGAATACCACTTTCATGTATAAGATCTATGGAAGAGCATAGAAAGGAAATTCGGTCATCAATAACAAAAAGAGCAGATGAGTAGGTCAGTTGTGGAGGTGGTACGTTGCCGATAGTAACGCTTTCAAAACGTCACTCATCAATATAAAATCAAACAGACTATTTCCTCAAGAAAAAAGAATTTCCTAGCAACCCTAGTGTCCCATAACAATCATAGTACTATGACAGAACAATGGGATGATATTTAAGGAGCATTAGGAACACAATAGGCAATTCCTCAATGACTCAAAGAACGAACGCACGAAGCATTTGCCCTGTAATAGCCTCTTAGAAACGGAAACGTTCGAATGATTCAGCACGTAGACAAATTTCTAATTTATCCAATTCATTGAATGGATCCACAAATATCTCTTCTTTTGATTATTCCAAAGAAGAGAGAATTGGCTTGTGGTTTGAATACGAAAGCCTTATGTTTGAATATCAATGAAGAATCAGAAATAACCAATCGCCAAATGATTGAAGCTATATAACCTGGTAGGCCTATATACTAAGATATATTTATAATTATTCCAAGGATGTCTTAATCATATGCAAACCACATCCTCCTTCTGTTTATTTATCTAGATTGCATGGGCTTGTTGGTAGAGGAAGTCGAATACAAAAGGCTACAGGCACAGTTACTCTAATTAAACAAATAAAGGTAAACCCATTTGACACAATCAAAAAAACCTTGCTATCAATTAAACACAGATAATAAAAATCACTTATACTAAGGTGCAGAACTTGTGTGATCCGTACAAGACTTATGTTCATAAGGCATGACTAATCAAGCATAAGACAATGAATTTAATAGTCACATGACTCCTAGCATTATAGTTGTGTCAACCCTAGTTTAGTGATGTTTACATTGGTGAGCTTATTTACATATCAAACTACAGGTATACATGAAAGTTTAATTAATTGCTCAGTGACTCATGGGTAAATAGACACAAGGTGGCATGATATGAAAGTTTTACTACGGGTATAAATTTATAATGATCCAAAATTAGGTATGACTGATGTATTGGATATAAAAATTTGTGATAACACCATTTTGCAAAAACAACAATATAAAACTGCTATATCCTATGCAGTAAATTGTGTAATATCTCGCAGACTAAGATGACCAAGATGGTCAGCGCATTTGTATTTGAAGATAAGATGACCAGATTTACTGAAACAGGTGTTGGCAACATTATTTGTCGGTGGGCCATAATAGCCAACATCTAGCTGGGCCAAACAAAAAAAAATTAGCGAGAACCAGAGCGTCGCTGAAAAGGAAAGGGAATAGAATGTGGCTATAGATCAGCCTTCGAGTAACAATCACACCGGGCAAAATGGCGAAAGATGAAATGCAGTAATAAGAGCAAAAATCATTATGTATTTTCACCATTGTGAGTGCCTTTTAAAACAAACTGCCGTATTGGGATTTTATGCTTGATGGGGAAAAACCTGAGTGTTGACAAGGGCCATACTAATTGGCGGGCCGAGTTTGAGAATATAGTCCAATATTCCATTTTCAAAAATAGCCAAATCATAATGAATGTACTCGAAAAATAGAATATTTGGTTTTGGCCATAAATACCAAGTAAGTTAGAAAGTATAATAGCCTATACACTGATAGGGTAAAACATACAATGTAACCTATCCAATAGATGTAATCTTATAGCCTACTTAAAAAAATCTCTCATAAATCTATAGAAAGATTGGATATGATATGATACAGTGAGGTATCCTCACCATAGCAATAATTATCTCAGATTTCCGTAGACAGGGTTACAATGATACATTATCCTTGAAAAGAAATACAAACAAACAAACCATGGAGTGGGTTCTTACTTTTTAGAGAATATAAATTTGGATCGAATATGCAATTTTTGTGGAAATTTACTTAATAATTAATACAAGGTCACTTGTACTTAAAAAAAAAGTTGTCAGTAGCACTGACCATACATGAACAAATGCTGACAAGGTAATATCAGATGGAAAAGTTTATCAATAGCCTATTATGCTTTGTAGTACTGATCCCGGAGTAATCTCGATATATTATGGATAAGATTTTTATATTTATCATGGGTGTGAAAAGCCGATAAGATGACGAACCATTATACTTTTCCGGTTACCGGTCCCTGTCGGATATCAGAATAGTTATCAAGATAATTGTTTCAGATACATAAACTTGATCATAAATTTGATGTACAAATATTATTAAAACAGTCTGAGTAATTCTTGCCATTTCAGTGGTCATATTCAGAGATGAGTTGCCATCCTCTCTGAGCGAGTGTGTATGAGCGTGTTGACCCCCTCTGAGCGAGTGTGTATGAGTGTCCGCCCTCTCTGAGGGAGTGTGCATGAGCGTGTCGACACTCTCAGAGCGAGTGTAAATGAGTGTCAACCCTCCCTGAGCAAGTGTGCATGAGTGTCAGCCCTTTCTGAGCGAGTGTGCATGAGAGTGTCAGCCCTTTCTGAGCGAGTGTACATGAGCTTTGATAATAACTAATAAGTGAACTTTCTTGCAAATATTTACCTCGACATTCTCTTTGTGAACCCTCTGATGCTATACTGCCCAGAATTTTGAAGTGCTGGATACGATGACAGTGCACACCTCCAACCACTGAAAATATAAACAAAACTTTTATTATAAAAATAATTATGTAACATGGACAAAATTTGTATAGAGTATATCCACTAGCAAGTAAGGTAAAAAAATTGGTACTCCCGTAGTGTGTTTACCAGGTTAGGGTTAGGCCATAATTTTATCCATTATTTTACCGTAGATCTATTACGAGTTCGGGACTGTCTGTGTTAGCCAGGTGATATACACAGCTTGATGTAGAGTAGGTAAACAAAATTAGTTATGGTAAACACACTTATGGAGCGGCAAAAAATTAATCAATTAACAAAAAAAATTTTTTTCCTAAATAGGCTAATACTTCTCAACGAAAATTTGAAAAAAGTATTTTTCTTGCCATTCAGATAGAGCACTGGTAGCAAGAAGCAGTGTAGATTAGGAAATATGTATCATTTTCCAAAGGAGACCAAAAAGAGTAAAAAACCAACATTTATTTAGAATGTAAACGGAGCATGAAATCCAGTTGAATGTTACATTGTGAGATGGCTATTGGCTACCAATATTATTTATCAATATTCATAATGATTGCAAGTTAATAAAAAGATACTCTATTGGATAGCCTACATTAATAAGCTTTAAATAAAAACAACACAACATCAAGTTGTCAGACTTTTTATTTGAACATTTTAAAATGCACCCTCAATCTGTTAGCTTTTAATTTCCCACGAGAGTAAAACGAACAAATTTCTGACAAACTTCCTCGTTGAACACATTTATTAAAATAGAAATAAAATAGAAATTATTCATTCGTATCGACATAAAATGCAATTAGCATTGGAAAACTGGAGTTTAAAAGGGATTAAAAGCAAGTTAAGATAAAAGAAATTTGACTGGTTTAATAATATATTTTACAATATTCGGGATTTGTAAAACGTACTTTTTAATCACACTAAGAAACCCTAATAATTGATTAAACGATAATTTTTTAATGAAACTATTCTAGAATCAAAAAATTCAAATATTGAATTGAATATATCCGTTTCGGCCATCCCTCGCTAAGATCACATTTGGCCTCATGCACAAATATACTAACATTGCATAATTTTCCATTTTAGTCAAGTCCTTAATTTTTAACTGTTGTTCAACCGACTTCTGTTACCATTTCTAATAATTTAGGAGGTCCCAAGTCACGTAAGAATTCAATGGGATAATATTAAAATGGAAATTCATAGAAAACAAGTAACTATTTATGTTTAACTAATTGGTAAAAAAGTTAATGACTGCAACTCTCTTTATTAATAATTCCCGGCCATTCACTGAACACAAGAATTCAATGGGATATTAATAAAATAGAAATTCATAGAAAACAAGTAACTTTTTATGTTTAACTAATTGGTAAAAAAGTTAATGACTTAATGAGTGTAACGCTCTTTATTAATAATTCCCAGCCATCCATCGAACTTCGTAGAAAATGAATGGTTTTCCAAGTTCAATGACTGCAAATTTCTCAATCGATTTAGCCATGCATCGGTAACATTTTACAGCGCTTAGCGCCAATAATAGTTTATTTTACATGTGTTACAGTGCACCGAGAAGCACCCGAGTGGAACAAATCTATGAGTCATTACTATGATGCCTGTTTCGTGATTTATCAAGAAACTATGTGTGGATTGTGGCATGTTAAAATAAAAAGACTTTCTTAAAAAATTTCCTAAACCTGCAATTAACCAATAGGCCATCATGCCCCGTTATTTTTTGAAAAGTTGATTCGAAGCTCTTCATTACTTTTTTAAAAATTGAGTACAGACAATCGTAAAATTGAAATACACTTGAATAGGTAAAATGGATAATTTTGCCTCTCTTTGCAAAAACAACAACTTATTGTAATATGTGTCAGACATCGATATTTAGAAATGGTGATTTTATGGGCTTAGACACATTACCAAAAGTGCAACAGTCATTTTAAATACGGTAGATCCTTATCGAGAGAACTAAAATGGTAGAAAATTGAATATTAGAATTGATAAATTAAATAATTTTGCACGTTAAACTGTGGAGTGTAATATTGTGTATTTCAGATTTTTTGTGTTTATAAATGGTGATTATACAGGCTTAGACGGCATATTATCAAAAGCAATATACTCATTAAAAAAGATTGAACGTATTTGATGAATTAGATAATTTTACATACTGCTCCCTGCAGACTAACAAATGCTTGAAACCATTAAAGCGAAACAATGCTATGATTCATTATATTCCCCCCCGCCTCCCGAGAATATTCTTATTGATCATCAATAAACTATTCACCATGTTCAAAAAAATGCAAAAGAATTTGACTTACTTATCAGAAAGGCATTTCGCCATGAAGTAATCTTCAGCTATATATTGTGATAGAGTGCTGAGACCTCCCGTGCATTTATCAAACACATCTCTTCTAATTAGAGTAGACATTCCTGTCATGCATATAATCCCTGCTATGTGCGCATTTATATAAACTCTTGCATGTTGCGTACCGAAATATATCTAAACAAAAATGGTTGTCATGGTGATTAGCATAGGAAATTAAGGAAATGAAAAGATAAATAGGAATCTATTGAGTCTATATATCTAAATATTCAAGAACTCCTGAAACAAATCTAATGCTTCAAAAATACATGTCAGATGGAAGAGAATAATATACGGTAATTTTTTTTAAACAATAAAGAATAATTACAAGAAAAAATGAGGGACTACTTTTTGGGGGAGTGATTGAAAATTTACGTAAAACGGACATCAAAATACTCAAATTAAAAGTTTCTAGTTAAAAAGGTACGGTAGATTATAACCAAAATTTCATTGTGGTTGAGTTTCAAGAACACTGATTGATGCCCACACACAAGGAAGTCATTTGATAGGATCAATAAACTGTCAGATAGAATTTGAGTCATGCTTGATGTAATAAATAATATGCAATGTCAGAAAGTAGGTCGCGAGCTATATGGGCCTATTTATTACTATCTGGTATAATAATAATCTAAAATGGAGCTGTTGAATGTATTTTATAAAAAAGTCTTTTGGGAATTAACAAAAATATATTTTTCATAGAGCTTATGCAAAATTCAAACAAACTATAGCCTAGTGTTTTCAGAAGCCATGATGATACCATGTAACTGCATTTAATTTGGGCAACAGATTCTGCATTTATTCTGGGAAAGAGAAATTACAACATTCAGCAGACATTGAATTTCAATCTATCGAAAAATTTGTTTCTTGTTAAATGGAAAAACAATAAACCAATCATCTGGACATAAATCTGTGTTACCTTTTCAACTGCGCTTGAAAAGCCTTTCCGATGAGCTGTGTAAGGTACCGCATGAACGAGCGCAACTTTGTCTGTCATTTTATCAACATGATCTCGTAATGTTAATGGAAGAACTCTGATTCCAGCATCGCAAATCCAAAATAAATTATATTTCATTACATTGTAACCTTGCATTAAATTGTTGACTTTGGGATTTGGCCCAACCTTTTTTCCACCTGAAAAAGAAATAGGTATTCATTAGGTAAACCAGGAACAAATTTAGACTCAAAATACAAATCAAGAGGCGGAAAGGGTACGGAAAAATATATTTTAAGATAGAATTGTGGGTACTCCCGTAGTATGTGTACCAGGTTAGACTTAAGCCTAAATTTTATTCCGATTTTTTCTCAATTCAGTTCTTTTACGAGTTTGGGGACTGTCTGTGTAAGCCAAGTGAATATACCCCCTGCCCACAGGTTTGAGTCCCTTTACACAACTTGATGTAAAGTAGGCGAATGGAACTAGTTATCTGGAGCACCGAATTGTGGATGTAAATATGGACTATAAACTACAATTGGAAAAATTGATAGCTGCAAAATTTGGTACATAAGCATATTATGTTTGCAATTTAAAATTCAGTGATTTATAAAAGATATTCTAGTTACTTAACATGATTTCTAAGACTATCAAAATGATATCATACATGTCACCATGTCATATTATGTGATCACGATTTGTTAGTTCGTGATAAGTGACCTATGAGAAACGTCATTTGTGTATACAAAGCCTGTCAGCTTATAATAGTGTATGTATAAAGGTAAAGAACACAAAACACACAGGCGTAACTAAAGCAATACTAACATAGGTGTGACGTGCCGGCTATTCAAAATCAATTCACCATTATTATGACTGAAGGGCCTCTACGTCTTAGCATAATACAGAATAATTGATGCCACAATGACTTATGTGAGAAAAGCATAAAGAGAAATTCCTTGGTAGGGTTCAAATTACCTGGCACAATATTTAGGTCAAAAGACTTGTGCTTAGTGGATGGATCTATATATTACACTTTGAAGATATTGTTTGGTAATTTAGAACTCTGGTTTAATATTAAATTTGATTTTGGAGGTTTCATTGAAAAATATCAAAATTTTCCAGATTCAATTATTAATAGTATAATATTCAAAGTAAAAATTTCTTTTATAAAACTTTCAAGAGCACCATAATTTCAATAGACATCCCTAATTGTGGCCCTTTATATCAGAGGCGTTCCATGACTAGCAGTCTATAGGGAAATATTGAAATTATATGCTGTATATATTCATTATGCTGTGTGTATATGCTGCTGCAATCCTTATTAACTCTACAGAAATACAGTGGATATGGGATATCTATAGACAGGGCATAGCAATATTAATTAACATAGCCACCTATTACAAAACTTTATGATCAAACTGAATATATTCATGAAACACAAAATAATTTTAAATATTATTATAAATGGTCGATTAATCTTCAATGCAGCCGGTAACAGAGGCAAGTCATTTCCTCATGACTAATTACCGGTTCTGCACCTGTAGGTTGATGCATAGTATCGAAAATAAATGCAAAGTGGTCGAACAAAGAATAATGTTTAGTGATATACTGTCAGCATATTATCTAACTCAAAATTGCAATGAACATTCAGATTATTGGCAGATGTTTCACACAGCACTGAATACAGCTCTAGACAAATACCCTACGATATGATAATACATGGGTAGGCTGATAGAATTCGTTGCTGCATTATTCCAATTAACTTTACTGTATACAAAGCACTTTATATGTTAGAATTAGGAATAATTTAGGTGATGAATTTTCAAAAAACTGTTGGAAAAAATGTAGGCTATCCGAAAGTAGGTCACACAAATCATTTGGAAAACCAGAATAAAAAATGAATCATTATGTAACACAAGTTCACATTATGTCACTGTTCATACACCAAACTGCAACATTGTGAAAATATAAATAAAAGCTTGTTTGAGATATGGTTATTCACAATTCCATAATTATGGGTATTCCCTTTTCCCAATTTCAAACAATGACTACATTGCATATACACAAGACATACCGGTTAGTGATTAGTGGTATATTTATCTTTACTTCGAGTCTATCGTGCATCTGGGAGGGAAGTCACTTTTCAAAAAAATGAAAATTTAGGAGAAATAAATAAAATTCCATGATGTGTTATGTGTTGAGAATTAGAAGTCATTAAAAACATTTGGGAAATGAATAAACATATATTATATTATTCGTTCTTGCAACATACTCTTACCATTACATACCTCTTACTATCTTTGATGGAATATTTGGATGTTTCGCCATTATTCTGTTACAAATTTCATTCGCAGGATCATCCTCATCTTGTATACAGAAAATTATTTCATACTGAAAAAAAAAGTTTTATGTTAGCAATATGCTGCCTTTTAATAACGCTTTTTTGGGGAAAATAAAATAGAGTAATACTGAAACACAGTATTTATTAATAAAGTGTTACCCAGTTAACAGTATTTCAAACATTTTTAAAATCACCATGAACCATCAATAAATAATGAATGGAGCAAGTTTTGGAAAAAAAAAAGTTCAAATCTTAAAAAAAAGTTTTATAAAGGTGTGGAAAAAACTAAGTATTTGGTTGGGAAACAAACTATAGTATCGAGAAATTCCCTTTGTGAATTGCGATATAAAAAAGGTAGATACTTTTGCAACACCTTATATATACCGGCATATGTTACATAGTAAAAGGTTATGCACTCTACAATATTATTGATAAGGGTATGAACATCTTTATCAACAAGGAGACAAACCATAAAATTAAATCTGTGCAAAGTTAATTGAAAAGAAAATTCACTTTCATCAAACATTCATGCCCAGATAGACTTCGTTAAGAAAGCTGATAATTATCAAGAAAATTAGGTCATTAAATTTTTATCACCAGACCAGTGGTAGGATATAAATGTAACTCAAGGCATGGATTATGTATCGGATCGTATTAACTTTAGGATCAATTGCTTAGTACAGATAATCTACTTTTCAGAGTGCATAATGAAATTTTTGAATGTTGATAATTTTTTAAATATGAAATTTTGAAATGCTAATTTGGGTCTTGTTATTAAAATTGATTTCTGCACAGATTACTGTATATTCAGAATGGCTTATTATGCACACAAAGTTTAGGATTAGCATTCTATTATATGTTTATTCTACAGTTCATAGAAATTCAATTAAACCATTATACCAATGGAATTCAGTTAAGATAAAAAAAAAAGATATTAAGTCAGCACCCAGAGTGTAGCAACACTTGGGAAAAATTTCAGTAATCAAAACATAAATATCCAACCTGCCCACTTTGGAGTAATGATGCAAATACACCTAACACCAATTAATAGCCTATTATGTCAAAATCCAAATTTTAGAAATAAAATCATTACAAAAAATGTTAAAATAAATAAATGAATTTGAGGCATATAGTGCGATTGATTAATATTTTTCCATTTTATTAGAACAGCACAGGTATTTCGCATTTATAACGATCAAAGTGAAAAATATTATTATAAGATACGACTTATAGTTTAAATACTTGATCTGGCTAAATTCATGATGTGAGAAAGAAACATATGGCTTCCCTTTCGATGTGATAAAAAACTTGAAGGAAGACATTATAAGCATATTATGTGCCACAAAAGCCCACCATATTGATATCAGGCATACAGTGCATGAAATAGATACCATAATAAAGATATGCAATCATGGTACATGTACACCGTAATGTGGAGTAATATTCTGTTTCCTTCCTGAATTAATAAACATATGCTACCAAGAATGAATATCGTGAGCTATTAATTCTGTTGTAATGTACCATACTTATTTCCTATTCTGCAGCATGCCTTCTACATATGGTTTACATGATTCATTCAAAGACAGCATGCATAGGATGTGCAATATCTTATCTCTCAAAAGATGGAATTTGACACCTCAGGATGTAATGAGGTCATTGTGTTGCTGGCTAGGCCTCTTAAATTCCCTCTCAAATTCTCCACATATCAAGTTGTCCAGTATAAATTCTAATCCTGGTCAGACTATTTTGATAAATCAAAGTTTTGATTACACAGCAATAAGTAATTTTTGTGGATTTGGAAAAAAAAATGATAAAGGTAAAGACACAATAGTCATTCAGAAGTGAAGGAGATTTTTTATTATTATTAAAAGCTTCGACACTCTTACTCGGACCATAGCTATATTTAAAAATAACAACTGATACCAAATAAGCTACAAATTTTTCGAAGAATAAATCTGGTTAGACGTTGCCATTACAATTTATTAGACCATGGTGAGGCTGTGGGCAAAGGGCCTTTATTTTCCATGCAAATACAGGTCAAATGCATTAACCCGTAAGTTAGGTTCAACAATTGCCTGACAAACAATCATAGTACAAACCTCTGGATAATCAATTTCAAAAAATGATTCTAAATTTTCTTCAAGATTAGAATCTGCTCCTTTTAAAGGTTTTAATATAGAAACACCTTGAAGTTCTGCTTTCATCAATTCCGGAGGTTTCCGATTCATATAAAGTTTCCTGGAAAGAAAATGAAATATTGGTAAAACAAACTGAATTCTTCAGGCTATAAAAATAAACCAAGTTTCAGTATCCCAGTATATAGTGTCAAAATGGGAAGATAAAATGCAGGAATGATAACAACAATGGTTTAGTTCAGGGGTGTGCAATCTTCAATTCAGGAGGGCCAAATACAAATAACTGGCCAAAACCGCGGGACGCCCCGGCCGCTTTGCACAAGCTAGCTGTTAGGGCATTGTAACGACATGGGTATGTATAGATATTAAATTAAAGGCTTCGCACCGCGAAGGAACTAGATTAAACTAAATTGAAAACTCAGTTTTCAGGCCGTACACCATTCAAAATTGGCATTTGTCCGCGGGCCGCTCTATTTTTCTGTGTGGCCGTATTTGGCCCGCGAGCCGCAGGTTGCACACCCCTGCTTTAGTGTGTATTCCTACTGTTCATTTACACCACAATCAGAAATTTTTAAAGCAAAAAATGAAGAAAAAGCTGATACTTACGCGTATGTATAAGATATCAAGTGCATTATATACAAAACAATATTTAACACAATTCCAAAAGCACAGAATGCTTCGACAACGTACAAGAAGGATATCCACCACCACGACATAATCCTGTGGAATTATTCAAAAACCCTAACCTTTAATAAATTAAATTTAAATATTCTGAATGAAGAAAGGAATACACATAAGTAAGACAAGCCCTAATCAACAATTGTATGGCGTTGCCCTATTTATTCGATATGAAGCAGTGGGGTATATCATGTATACTAGGGCCAACCTGTTTTCAATCGCAATCGACTAAAATATTTAAAACAGCTCGCGATCGAATGTTCCGCAATAAGGTCCCACACAAAAACGAATGAGTACTGGATATGCAGATAAATCGACACACGCATACAAAAAAATCATACAACGCAAACACATACAAAAATTCCACATTCATAATAAAATCGACACAAAATTTGTGTGTTTTATGTTCCATTTAAGTTGTTGATTTGATTATTTAATTGTACTCGGAGTAAATGTTTCAACATTTATTTGAGATTTATTCAAATCCTGAAATGATACAATTCAGATAGGCTATAAGGCGTGCCTAATTTTTAGTCATAAGTCAGTAAGTGTCGGAAATTCTTCAATAAACCTTGCAAAGTATTTGTGTATTACTGTATTATCTAAACAGCGAAAAATAAATATTCTCAAACCATGAATGTTACATGACTGCTCAAACTTCAGTATCTAACTTACAATTTCCTAGAAGTGGGATTTTTCGCTTGCTTAGAAGTACGGTAGAATAGAAAAAATTGCATTTGTTACGTACAAATATGCTCTCTCAGGCTTGCCCAGACTCAAATACTGTATGTGAATATTGTATTTTGCGCATGTATAGCACTGTATTCCTCCTGTTTTAAAACACAAAACTGGTTCAAGGCAATTTTTGGGGGTACTTTATTAAAATTCACTCAACACTGCAACATCAGACGCGATCGACTGCTCGAGACATGGCGATCAACCGGTCGATCGCGATCGACGAGTTGGCCACAGTTTGGGTGTGAACATATTTAAAAGCTAAAAACTTTTTTCAATACAATTTTAATGTTAGAATATTTATTTTTCAACCGTTTCTAACTTCATTTCTCAGTTTCTGCATTTTCAGATTTTATTTTGAATATTTTTGCCAGGATGCTGTGGTAAGTTACATTGTTACATTAGCCCAATACATTGCCAGTGCTTACACCAATACACAGTTTTACAGCACGTTATTTCAGTATTTTTGCTTGTTTCTGTGTTCTGCAAAATCTCTCGCTGTCCCGCTGTCTGCGGGTCTGGAGTAGACTATTGCTAACTGCTGAACTGGTTTATATATCTGTCATTAGACTCTCCTCTTTTTTACATCTTCATAACAAATAAAATAAATACAACTTTCCACGTATTTCCTATATCGCTATATAACTTACACTAAACTTTCCGATAAACTGACAAAAACTAAAACGCTCGCCAGGCTCCGCGCAGCAAACTGAATCGCAGGCGGCACCCAGTTGAAAGTCTCGAATGGTATCATGCGTGACGTGACCGATGTCGCGTGACCGCGAGTAACTGAATATAACCCTTGGACAACTGAACAATATTCTTAACACCTAAAAACACTAATGGCCAATTCTCTAATACGTATGAAAGTGCCATGGGTTTTAAATTCGTATTAACAATATATTCATACGTATAAATATATAAGTATATGTGAGATATATTCAATTTTTTTGTTAAGAAAGACGTCATGTGCGCGGTGAAGGTTAACAATTTCGCAACGCCGGTTGCCTTGTCAGCGGCAATGCCAGAATGACGTAATTTCAAAATACGTCAAATTATCACGTGGAATGCTAATACTATATTTCACATGATCGTGATGTTGTTATTGGTGGTGACGTTTGAGAGTCGAATTGAACCTCAACTTCCGCAATATTTCAACATCGGCAGATTTTAACTGACGAATAAGGTGAATAAATAAGGAATTTTAAGGGACCCTTATATAGGGTTACCATATTTTTGTGACTTCAAATCGGGACGGCTCGAAAGACAACGACCCCTTAGCTGTGATTTTATAACTTCACATTTTCCGATTTTACTACATAGGCCTACATTTAAAGCTGTCTCGGCTGTCTTTATTGCCCATATTGTTATCGAAATTTCATGCGCATATTCTCTGTCCAAATATCGGGTTCAGTTCGAAAAATAGGAAGGGATTGACGTTAACGATACCGGTACAAATAATTCGAATTTAGACTAACTAGTATTGGTTTTACATGCGATACGTCTGCCATGAATGGGAATCAGCGGGAAACGAACGCATTCACCTTCAGTAAGTAGGCTAGCGCTGCGCTACACAGAAACAACAGTAACGAGAACATGTTTGTGTATTATGCTGGAAAAGCGGGACTTTTGGCTGACTTACCGGGACGGCGGGACTGTCCCGCCTAAAACGGGACGTATGGTAAGCCTACCTTTATACCGAGCAGTAAATGTCACACCAATTCTACGATAATAATATGAGTGAATTGAAAGTTTGGTTTCTATTTCTTGCAAGTAGGGCCATATTGAGACTTTCCAATACCCACTCGAATAACAAGGTTGTGTATTTTAATATGGAAATGAAAGAGATCAGCCTGAAATCCGTTAAGCGTTCCAACTAATAAGACATTTGTCGAAATCAGCTCTTTTAGGACGGTGTCAAGATGGATGAGTTACTTTGTATTGTAGCCCACCGCATTTCACTAACGATAATGTATGTACTGTATTGCACCCACGTCATAGTCTCATAAAAAAGCAGGGGCTTGTTTAAAAGAAAATCGTAAAAAAAATACAAGTGAACCGACCACTCAACATTGCCTTTTATCTTTTCAACGTAAATTATTACATTTTTAGATGAGTGACAGCAGCTTAAGTAATAAAAGGTAAAAACGAATACACTCCGGACAACATTTAACACGACTAAAACGATACTAAACGCAAACCGAAATAAATTCAACTTTACCATCTGAAGTCAAATGACAACTCGTACCTTGAATATGATTACGCGCCATTTCAGTTTGTGAAATTATTTCTATATGCGTATGCATGCTAATTAGGCCTACATCATCACATGATCGAGAAGTGGCGTGATAATAGTGTGCTAATATTTATAAATAAACGATACTATACATAATCATCAAAAGCACGAGTTTTGGCAAAATTGATAAGGGTAATTTACTACACCAAGAATAATAAGGATACCGAATTTTCATAAAATCTGACTATAATAACATCTATCTACTCAAAAAAGTTATTTATTATTATGATTGAGCGCGATGCAAGCTTATGTAGCCTACGCAAAATAATAGTTTCATCATTTTCCATCACCAAAATACAAAGCATAAATATATCACTATCTCTCAAAAGATTTCTAGAACTTTAAAAAGCGCTGAATATAAAAGTACCAACAATCTACAGAGTAGAAGTTGCCTACTGTTGATAACGACCAATGATTATGGCTCGTTTTTAACAAGTAGACAACTTCATGTTGAAATTTTCCATGGTCTAAACCCCTCCAGTGATAATTCCATGAATATGATATTTCATTTTGAAGAAAGATTACAGTTTAAGCAAATAGGATCATATTAAGCAATATTCGTTTGTTCTCTATAAATTTTACCCCAAGAACTAGGGTTTTGTTTTTATCAACCAAAAAAAAACATCGTGTCTTAATAAAAGGGCTTGTTTTAAATCAATTTTTTTCCGTATTTTTTTATAGAGATACCCCTTGCACCGCCGCGAAACTACGACAAAACGTTGCATTCTGGCAGCTGCACACGCCGCCGGAAATATAATTTGAAAAATGTAAGTAAAAATTCTTATTTTGAATTTTACTTCTATTGCGTACATTTACGTTTGTATCTCCATGAAAGTAAGATAACATTTAAACCGGAATGTGCATCCGAGATAGTGTGCAGAGAGACGTTTTGAATGAGAAATATCATGAAACTTGGCTCACGAGCCTACTACAAAAGCAATTAGATCAAGGGCAGCCTTTGGCAAAACGAGTGGGTCGCGATAATGAAGAATATGCTTACATCGGCGGCAATCTACTGATATAAACGATGAGACACCCTGGCCTAGCCTATGCTAATTGATGTAAGAGTCCTCTGATGCAAAGACGCCACAACTAATCTGGTATGACGCCATAATATGGATTTGACATTTTTCTCATAAAATGAAGGCATTATTACGGTTAATACTGCTCGGTTAATTTATGCTTAGCATAATTTGTTTTAAAGGTTGAAGTGAAGGTTTGGTTTTTCAAGGTTATACAAACTCATTTATTCGATCGCATTTCAATTTTCGCTGGGTGGTTTCGTCGCAAGCGGGTCGTTCATGTAATGCAGGGGTTCCCAACTTTGATAGACCGCGGGCCACATTTTGAACAGAAGGACATTCGCGGGCCAGTAATAAAATTAATAATTATAATATTTGGTGATAGAATACCCGAGAAATAACAAGCACTTCTTTCAACAAAGAATTTGCAACTGATAGCGTTCAATAAAGCTACTTGCTCAGTTTTGATTTGTTAAGGCTCATAATTGTGTTGTTAGAAAGACTGATGCTGAAAACTTCTTATATCAGGAGAAATGACATCCGATTCTCTTTAGCGATGTTGTGGGCTACAATATAACTGGCTAATAACGTGGATTCCCTTTCCTTCGACATTAATTTGTTTGACTTTAGCAAGGAGAATGAATTGCCAATGAGATGAGTCGCGCGTTCCATCTCAAATTTGCACCGTAAACTCGCGTGTCGCGTCTAGCAACTTTTTATCTGGAGGGACGTTCTGTGCCTTCATTTTAATAAAACAAACACACTTCTACTTTCAGACGTAGGCCACGTGACAGCAGTGGCGAATCGCATATCTGAAGTAGCAATCAAAAGCATGAAACAATAAATTGTTTTACTTTATTTGTGCTGTATATATATATCCTCCTTGAAATAAAAAAGGCCACCAATACAACATAACAATTAAAACGGTAAACTCTCATTTTCTAATATCTCTGAAGTACGTGATCTCACAGTATTTTGATTACTTTTTGGTTTTCCCGACTGCGGCACGCAAGTCATCCTCAAAAAATTCATGCGGCTCTTCAATCTCGCAACCTTGGACCACCCTGATATATACGAAATTCGTATTACGAATTAGGTAATATTGATATATTATACACCAATGTTATTTTGATTAGAACTGAACTTCTTTCCTCAATTCTATGTAAACGAATTGCAAATGCCAAAAACAGATCAGTATTTTTATCGAACAATTCGATATTAGTATATTTAGTTCAGGATTACTGCTCGTATCATGGTGATCATCTTTTAAAAAACGAAAGTACGAAGATGAAAACAGAGTTGTCAAGTCAGAATGGGAAGAAGAATACGCATTTACCATTCTGTAGAATAAACCTTTGTGCATAATCTGCCATAAGCTTCTAAGTCAGAATAAAGTCAGCAATGTTAAACGGCACCATGAAACGAATCATGAAATATTCTTACGAGACTATCCAATCAGCTATATTATAAGGAAACACAAATTGAATGAGCTCAAATTGTGCATATATTTGAGCATAGCAGCCTTGTTTATCTATTTATTGTTATTAGACTCCTGTGTGAATTTCTTTTCTGTTCATGGTATTTTGATAATATTAATAAATTCACAAATTCTGCGGCTCTTTAAAAGTTCTGACTTGCAGCATGCGGCTCTTATACTAAAAAATTGCCCCCCCCCCCCCATAGTCTCTTTTTAAACCCTAAGCCCAATTGGATAATTACTAATTTGGTATTCTAAAACGATGCGGAGGTGTTTTTCTCAAATCTCACATTTTTGCATTGGTACATTAGCATTAGCTTTATACAAAAGATCCAAAATTAAAGAAGTCTTTCTGAATTCGTTGATGAGATAAAATTTGAAAACAGGACAACAGTAGGAACTTTGCAGCACGCGGAAGAACTAGAGGCACAACTTGGTAAATTCCTTTCTTCGCCTATTTTTTAATTAACTCTTAATTCCTCCCTGCTAGGCATAAAACTACTTTATTTATTCAATTTTTAATGAACCCTTTGCTAGTGTTATGATCAAGTCGCACTCTCATTTTCGTAAAGTTTAAGTAGTTTATTATGTGTTTATGAATAAGTATCATAGTATACTATTGAAAAATTTTCTACGTCCCCCTTGTGGGGCGCGATTCGCCGTTCGAGAACCACTGTACTAGTAGAGACTTGAGTACTACGTATGGCTATTCTAGATCGGAAACAACTCCCCATTTCTTGGCATGGTTACTGTTTTTAAGCGAGATGCTTTCGCGGCGGGAGTTGTGAACCATTATGACACTATTATTAGAAACTTTGGTGATCGTTCTTGGCGTATTTGCAAAGTTCTGTCCAACAAGCCGTTATCGCAATACTCGGGCTTGTCCATGGGACATATTTTTCTGTCCCATTCTCATTCCATAGCAATTATGCCCGCCCCATCCAATGGGATTCCCATTAGAATAAAATTCAATAAAAATTGTTAAATTTTGGTTTAGCGTCTACTAAATAGGACTACATGTACGAAGACACATGCAAAACAACAAAATTTACTTTGTTAACTTTATATTCATAACTATTATACATGTGTTCATTAGGCCCTTCATGAAGTATATTATTGTTAATACTTAATATGTTTTGCTCCTCATAACTAACAAGAGGGCTATGCACAAATATATGGACACGAAGTCTATAACAATATGTTTTGCCATCATTTCCCCGATATCATACGGGTTTCGTGTCCCATGGAAAACAAAAATGTGTGCTGTCCCATCCCATCCCATTGGACGTTTCCCATGGACAAGCCTGGCAATACTACACTCCTTTTTTTACGCCACCATGCGACTCACGTAAAATTGGCATGGCGTTATTTATTCGAGAATTGCTCACTGTTGAAGCTGTTTTGAGCGTTTGTTCACTTGCCTTGACACAACGAGATGTTTACGATTTTTTAATTAATATTCTATTACTCATCTTTTTTGCAATATATATATATGTACGATCATATGAACGTTTTCAAATAGGAACGAAACGATTCCAATATTATGGAACTTTTGTTACTATATATACCACTCTCGTTACTCGTACATATAGTTAAGACCGGGTGTTTCAAAACACTGTTATATATGTCAAAACAGCTATGTTTCGACTTTCAAACCGGATATTTGTGAAGTCATAGAAAATATAAACTGAAATTCATAGGGGTAATATGTTTTGACTTAACACAAAATATGACAACGCCGTCACTTTTGTCGAAACTTATTTCAGATACGAATAAATCCGCTGGTTCCGTAGGATTTGTTGCAACGGACAGAGTAGCAATTGAGCTCAACCATTACATGAGACGCAATGCTACTGAAAACGATCCACGCACATGGTGATGGCGTGATAATAAAATGTTTTATTCTAATTCGCCAGCAGTTTGCCCTTAAATATATATCAGTTTCAGCAACCTCAACTGCCGATGAAAGAAATTTCATGACTGCGGGCGATACCGCCAGAGAATTGATTCCATTGTGATTTTGAAGGGAAATGCTGATTTGTTACTGCATGAAATAATTAATTAGGTGAAAGTGGCTACCTTTCTCTCATGTTTTTCTGATTGTTCAGCATTTTTTTTTCTTTTCATTAACATGTAAAGCTTGTGAAATTTTACTTGCACAATCTGTTGTTGTATTATCCCCGAGCTATTCGAACACTGTTTTGTCACCAAGCAGAAACATTTGTGGAAAAAATTACGTGCATGTGTTTAGTATTATTATTACTCCATGCTCTCGAATTAGCTTCAGGTGCTTAATTTATTTTGGATTCATTATACTTGCTATTATACATGAAATTCGATGCGTAATATTGGTGCGATGTTTTTATGTTTGCGACAAACTTGTGTTTGGTTCCGAAATACCAATGTTTCGGAAATTCCCAGCCCTACCTATAGTATGAAATTTTCGTGGTGAATGATATGTTTGACAAATAATAAGATTCGGGCTCAACAACACCTCAATCATAAAGATTGCTTCTCAAAACAATTATTATACAATGAACAGTTCATGAAGTACACGCGTTGTATTCGGGATTTCGGCTCTTTTTTTGTTCCGTTGCATGGCATAATTCAAATAAAATCCTGTCACTATATAGTTTATTCTAATTTTAAAACTATTAAAAATGATCAATCCCGCCCATAACCACTACGTCAATGTTCATCAGAATACAAAAAATTTTATTCGGTTTAAGGAACTCCGAATAATAATAAACACTGCAGTAACAAAATTATAAAGAAACAGACTTGAAAAAAAAAAATTAATCACAATGGTTCTTGGCAATATAACCTGTTGTATAAAAGTAAGTTGTAATGAAAAAATAAAGATTAAGTTACAATGTCACTTGTTTGAGCGGCGTTTGGAAATACATGATTGGGATACGCCTTGTATAGGATTTGCATTGCGTATAGGCAAAAAAATACGTTCCATCAACACAAGTCGAATTCACGTATCGCGCTTCAAGCTATACTTACTATATAACGCCGTTGTTACGACAATGTACCCAATAGGCCTAACTACTAAAATTCCTGTTGATGAATAATTAAACGACTCATGGAAGAATCGTAAGACCATGCACCTCGAAGGAGACATGGTTGAAAACTAGGAGTAGACAAAATGGCGTCTGAAACGGGTATTTGGTCTCGAAACCAAAGTTGTAAATGCGAAATACCATAAAAATTCCCCGTTTAGGCTTGTATCAACAGATTACGTTGGACTCTGGAGTTGAAACTTTAAATCCAAACTAAAAGCGTTTAAAATTATTGAAGTATATGAAGTCGGCATTTTGTTAATGTTTGCTCAAATCCGGGCCTATTTTTGAACTCGGGATAAGAATTGGAGCAAACATTTTTTTGAACTCGTACTTAGGACTTACAGTCATGATTTTCTTGCAGTTGGACGGAACTTTTTCCAATCCTTAGCATTGGTTTACGCAAAGCATTGCGTGAAGGTGGAGGCTGCGAATAATTAACGTTAAATTCGCAAATCGAAAACTTGAAACACGTTTCCTATTCCACAGAAGCTTCTGTCGATACTGAGAAAACGCAGTTATTATTTTCTGCAATTTCAGTTTTTACTTCTTCTAATTTTGTATTTTCTTGCTGTTCGTCTTCGTTTGATTCGAGTAAAATTCTGTCAAGTTCTTGGATGTAACTCAACGCCATTTGCAATGTTTCGTACTTTGAAAGTTTTCTGAAGTAAAATATTATACAATCAAAAAAGTGTCGGTATTTTACTGAAATTTATAAATAAACTTAAGTGTAACAGACCTTTAGTGCATTAGTGTAAAATAGTGGTTGCCAGAAAATAGATTTACCACAATCAAAATAGTAATGCTTGCGGGTTGACTACAAGTCGCTTCAGAAGTATGTGTACCAAAATGGAAGTGGCTAATTTCGTTCGCCTATTTTACATCAAGTTGTGTAAAGGGATTGAAACCTATGGTCAGGGTTTATATCCACTTGGCTAACAAAGACAGTCCTCGAACTCGTAATAGAACTAAATAAGGAAAATCGGAATGAAATTATGGTCTAACTCTAACCTGGTACACACACTACGGGAGTACCGATTACGATGCGTCTCAAATAGTGACAAGCGATATTAGACGAAAGAAAATTACTAGGTATATACATACCTTGTTTTACTAATAGTTGGAATCACTTTTCTTAGTTTATCAAAAGCTGAATTGAGTCCTTGCATTCTTCTTCTTTCACGTGCATTTGCTGCTTGCCTCCTTTTCTTTGTAGTGCAAGGACTGGCACCTCTCTGGCGTTTCGACGGCTAAGGAAATAAATGAAACGTTTTGAAAAATTTTACAACATCGAAAAATGATGATATATTTTTATATTTGACAGCAAATTATTTGTTACAACAAATAAACGTATATGTTATACGCTGAAACTTAGAGGGTATGATGTCTTTTTATTGGTAAAGCCTAATTAATGTCAAAATAGAAAGTCATTTACCGAATTCAAATCCAACATCGTTATTCCGTTGCCATGCATGGAGTTTGCTGACGTCATTAGTGACGTATTATTATTTTGAAAAACTCGGATTTCTTGCTTAACCTGGCTGTCGTTGAACCCGATGATAGGGTTCCAGGGATCAGAAAGCATTTCAGAGTCTGAGAACATTTGTTGCATCCCGAGTGATTCGTTTATGAAATATCTTTCACGAAGACTTAGTTCAGTTGTGTTCGTACTGTTGCTCAAATTTGGTACGAAATGTCCAGCATGATTCGTACTGTAATAAGGTGGAATGAAGATGTCTGACTCGCTCGGTGAGATTGAGACTTGAATTTCTTCTTCTGAACTTGACGATGACTTGCGAGCTGGCGTTGAGGCTGTTTCTGAAAACAAAAATGCTAGGTAATTCATTGTAACGAAGCGACAAATGACCAGAATTTCACACCAAGGAACGTATCGCATCTGAGCCATTCGAATTGAAACAGTAGTATTCCGAATTATTGATATTGAATCAATTTTATTTTGGTCGCTCTGGTATAAAACTAAACGGACAAACAAAATGTAGAGAACCTGGAAGACGAGCATAACTCAAATATAATAGGGTTAGAAACATATGGGTACGCGCCGTCCACCAAATTAAATATCGACTAAGTCGTCGATGAAAAATCACCGACGTATGCTATTTGTAGTGGTTCATGTTCAATATAAGGAAGCATCTGGCTGGTCGCCCACATATTACATGTATCTGGATGGTGACCGTACATTTGAACCCTTGTACATTCGAACCCATGCGTATATCCACGGGTTCAATCTATATGCGGGTGCTAAAACCCATGGGTTAGGGTTAGTATGGGTTTAACTATCCGTGAAACAAAAAAAAATCCATAGGTGCAATAGCATACAGGTGCAATTGTCATGGGTTCAAATGTACGTGGGTTCAAATGTAATGGAACCATCTGGATATATTCTTACCCGAGAGGAATCCTCCTATGATGGAATTTCTCGTAAACGGCATTTGCGTTTCCTGCTTGGGAATATGTGTTGTTACGACACTTGAATTTCGCATTTCAAATCCCGTTTGTGAAGCAAAAATCGACAATTCTTCTGCCGGTTGTGATATCACACAATTCGCCTCTGTTGCGTAATAAATCTCTTCTCCGCTGCTGTCATCAGAGCAGCTATTGTTGTTGTTATTGTTAGTATTGAAGTTGAATGATGATGGTTGCCACATTCCTGTGTTGTTTTCTGTATGTTCGGGTAAAACTTGAGTCATTTTTCTTTACAAAGGTATAGTTGTTTATATTATGAATCTGACAATAAACAAAAAAAAATCGTTTACCAGTTTTGTTTATATTTTACTGATTGGAGCCATTAAAATGGCGATTAGTAAAAACGAACCATCTTTATCCTACTACTGGATATCATCGAATAAACAAGTAGACGCATCGTAGGTAATATTGCAGTGATGACCAGATAACAAAATACAGTTTTACACTACAGCCTACATCTACTCCATCATTAGTATACGAATTATGGCGAAAAGAAACAACTATTTCTACGTGTATATTGCAGCGCCAACACTAATTTTATATCACCACTATCTTGTCATATTCAGTTTGACAATTTAAAAACTATGAGCCGAGAAAATTGACTCTTCCTTCCTACGAGCACCTGGTAACTATGACAGATCAACTAATACTTTTCCGCTTTATAGTGAATTTCGGCAGCAATTAACGGATTACTCTCCCGATACACACGCGTCACAATTGCAATACAACTAAGCGCTTTTTAATTGTGTTTTGAATATTTAATGACGTCATCAATTAGATGACATATCGTAATAGGATTATGTTTTGAACACTGATAGCATTATATGTTAATATTTTTCGCATTATGTCCAATATATTTAAACATAAACGGATATAACGCCCTTCCGTCCCGCTTAAATATGTCGGAAATCGCTTGGATTACGATAAACACTTTCTCTGTCACACTTTCGTTTTACTTGTACTCCAAAAAGACCTGTTTTTATATTTCAGATATTTTCCTACAAAAGTGTTTTCCTCGACGTCGAACTTTCTTTAATTTGGATCACGACAAAAAAGCTCAAAAGCATAATAATGCTTGAAATTTACTTCCTAAATCTGTGCTGTAACGAAGGGAAAAACTCAATAGCTGCTTCTATATCTAAAATTCCCATTTAAATTTCATGATTTTTTTTCATGCCAATTTTGTACTATGCACAATGAAGTGAACGAGTTCAAATACGAATAAGACAAGATGCATTTTAGGGCAGCTTTCAATTCATATTTTCGGCTTGGTCGTTTCACGCTATATTTTACCAAGTCCAATATATGTATTACTCTCACTGTAGCTACCATCTTTGTATAAACTCAACCCTGAGATTACATCATCTTCCCAATTGCGAGCAAGCATATTAATGAAAGTGAAATCATTGTGAATACGTGCTTTTGTATCCCCCATATTAAATACGGTTCTATTCTGGACGATCTTGCGTTTAAATACTGCATAAAATTGTACTTGTATTTTTGGTCCGTAAGAGAACTTGAACTTCTGTAAATACCGGAGAAAATACGTTCCGACTTCATATATACGCTCTTTTATATAATATTGACAACATTTATGACGAAACTATTGCTTTTCCGACTGAAAATTCAAACTGGCCAATGAGAAGCCATAAAAACTGGGATTTAAATGCAATGAGGGTCGCAAAATAGAAGTCATCATCAAAAGTCCAGATGTCTATGCAGCCCATACAATTTTAATGAAGTCATTGAGGCGTCATCCAGCGAGCGGAAGGTTTCTTGAATTTTAAATGAAGTTAGAACGGTGTGAGGTCATTTACTCATATTCAACATACAGGATTATAGCTTGCATTTCAGTTCATGAGTAAGGGAAATAAAAATACACCTCAGTTCACTGAGACTAAAATTAAATGTCGATGAGTTTGAACAAAAAATACCTCTTCGATATTGCTCTCAATTTTTGACAAATTCATCAAAACTGAATTTTTTTTTTCAAGTAAGGTATTTCTGTTCTGAACTATTTTGAGCCATTGTATTTGTGTGTTCCAAAAGTTGAATTTGCCTTAAACAAATTAAAGATAGAATTACGATTTCTTACTGTTATAAAGCCGGCGCTATGATTTTCAAACAGATGCAATCGATAGGTCCTAATAACCCCTCTTGCCCGGGGTCCAGTCGAAGCGAATTTAGAACACAGATACCACGGGAACAAGTGGCATTCTCGTAAACAATATCAAAATTCTCAGACCGATTGATCAAAGAAAACCTCAAAAATTCATTATCATATTTTCAAACTCAATGAATATTTTATTACTTCACAGGTTCCCACGTCCAAATATGAATATTCACAGTTCAGCCATTACGCAAGAAATTACTATTCGATACGTATATACGGCGTTCGTGTCTGATAAATATAAAATGCAGCTTCATGAAGTATGTTGATTTACAAAGAAAATTTTCACCACTAACTAACCAAGCCCGAATTATGCTTCCCCGCTGTTAATAAATAATGCGATATATATATATATATATATATAAAACAGTTTCTGATCTTACATTTTTGATTTGATATTCATATTACAGATTAAAATACTGTTATTTTAATAAATATTTTACTTATGTGTTTTCACACGACTTTGATTGAGAAATATTAATATTGAAGTATCGTGTGAACCAAACAATTTCGTTTGAAACTTTTCGTCAAATGAGCCTTCTTAGAATTCAATTCGAGTTATAATTTTCGGGAAGGAATCGTTAATGAATAGTTGTGTAATATAAGGTGTTTCGTATAGCTTTGTATTAAGGTTTCACAATCTTGAAAAAGTCCAAAGTTAAATATATCAGGTAATGTTGTTTTCCACACTTATCCAGGGCGAAATGCGTGTGGATATGTCGTTTAAAATATGTCATGAAAATCATATAAGAATAACATATTATCAAACCCCAAAATCCCGGTTTGTTCGGCCCGAAACTAACCATTCTCCCGCCGCCATATTGGTTGTTTTCGTATCACTTTCGTTATTGTCACGTAATAATCGGATTATCATTTGTTAATTAATCGTTTATTGAACAACTCGCTTGAACTTGCTCGCTCCATGTTTCTGTAATAGGATTAGTAGAGATACTGAGATATCTATTGTCACATTTGTATTGTATTATTGTAATACATACTTTGATATTTAATCGCAAACGGATATACCTCCCTTCCGCTTATTAATTACTGATTTGTGTTTTCGCATGACGAGAGAATTTGATGTTTGGCCGAAATTTTCGAGCTATGATCGGGCTCTAGTTGAAAATCAAACAATGTACAGTATTTGACTCAGAATAAAAAAAACATTATTTTTCCCATTCGACAATATTACTATTAACAAAAATGATAAAGGCACAACCATATTAAGGTTGCCTCGATGATATTTGAGTAAAAATTTCCAAATAACGATACTTACATAATAACTTTGAATAAGTTTTAGTGTTTACACTTTTATTGTCAAGATATATACCGGGTTTAAAACACACTCTATCGACTGCCAGTTAGAAAAAGGGGCGCTCCAAAACTATGTGTACCAATATGGAGGTAACTAAATTTGTTCGCCTACCATTAGTATGACTGATTACTATGGGCAAGGGTTGTGTTCACTTTGGCTAACACAGACAGTCCCCAAACTAATAGAACTAAAATAAGGAAAATCGGAATAAAATTACGGCCTAACCCGGTACACATATGACGGGAGTACCGAAATAAGCATGGGCAGGCGACTGATCGAAAGAAATAATATTCAACGTGATACCAATAATCGTAGTCTACGGCAGAGTATGCTTTAATATTACTCGTGGCGATTCAGTCTCTGAATTCATACCTTTAAATTTCCTAATATTTCAACTGCTATTTTTAATCGTGTAATTTTTAAAGACAAATGAGCATTCTCATAAGCCTGACAACTTGATGGTTCAATATTCGATCACTGGATGAAATTACGTAGCTTAATTACATTTGCGCAGTATTACTGTCCTTTCGATCAACAGCACGCTCTTGTAAACGCTGAGCATAATTATTGAACGTGAAGTGTGTGTATGGATTGCTAAATTACTAAAAATTGCTTTTCTCCGTTATTAATGAACCAGTCAGAAGTAGCTATTAAGTTATGATTCTTATTTTCTCCGAGTACTTCTGGGTCCGACACGATATGTCACCCGAAAATCCTATAATTTAATTAATGGAACTGTTTTTATGACGTCTAGTAACAATTTTATATGACCTTTGATCTTCGTTTCCGTATATTTGAGAATTGATTGCTCTCTTGTATTTGTTTCATAATATTTTCAATTTTTGTATGTAAACTTAATGTTGGTTGATTCGATATTTTCACTAAACGGCGACGATAATGAAAATTCCGTCAACTACTTTCCAAACTGATGGTTCTCGATTGATATTTCAGGATAATTCATTTATTGTATTGCCGTTATCTCTTTCGATCCTGATCGGCAAAAGGTATGAATTTTTTTAAGTGATTCAACAGTCTTGCAAACGCTAACGAAAATATATATCGTTTTTTCCGTACAAAGTCAAACTTTCTCGAACAAATTTCATACTCCAGTCGAAACGTTGCAGAAATATATTTATTTTAGTATCACATAAGATATTTTTATCATCGCCGTTACCACGGTAATTCAAATGAACGTTGCAGAAATATATTTGTGCAAGTATATGTATAAACTAGTAAGACTCTTGAATCACGTAGGATAGTTATCTTCGCCTTTGCCAAATTATCCTTGTGTTGTATGCATACGTTTCCATCAGCGTCAAATCATAAAAGAAGATTAAGTAGTAAAGCCCACAGTCACTCAATCGATATCACAAGCATGGCTATTCTCCAAAACGGTTAACTTTTCGCGCCATTACATCAATCGTTCGTGGGTTGATGGATGACACATCACATCAATGCGACAGCTCATCATTTACTTTCGCGAGATTATGTAAGTTTTACTGTTGTTTTGCGTAAAAAACGATTGAGTGTTGCCACCTAAATGTGTGAGTACTTTGCTTGCCTCCTAACTAGGCAGTTTGTTTGGTACTCCCGTATAATGTGTGTACCAGGTAAGGGTTAAGCCATAATTTTATTCCGATTTTCCCTATTTTAGTTCTACTACGAGTTCGGGACTGTCTGTGCTAGTCAAGTGATTGTACCCCATGACAATGGGTTTCAGTCCCTTTACACAGCTTGATGTTTAGTTATTTAGTACACTTCTGGAGC